AGTCCTCAAATGACGTAAGTCGAAAATTTTTAAATTAGATAGTTATTTGCTAGTTCGAACAGTTTTTGTACATTCTCGATTTCGAGTCGCTACTTATTTCAAATTTTGTAGAATTAAAAATCTGAGTATTTAAGTTACTCTCGCCAAATGCTCTATGTTCCGTAATGAATGATGTTGTATAATTTGAAGTTCGATAGACGGATGTCTTTTTGTAGCTACACAACTTCTTGACCTCTCTGGCTCGATAGCGTTAACACGCACTGAATTGATGATTTTCATGATCGCCATTCGTATTTCCTTCATACGCCAGCAATAAATTAACGGATTTACTGCCGAGTTGATAAAAATTGATGTCACTGTGTATAAGTAGGCCACTTTGGTTTGAAGAGTCTCGCCGATGGCAATTTCAACAAGCATAACGACCAGAAATGGAAAATAACAAAGAAGAAAAAATCCTAAAATGTACAACATGGTTATTGTAGACCGTTTATAACGTACCATATCAATGGTCTTATTACCAGGATTACGGCAGTCGTCATTGGATCTCGTGAAACATTGTCGCTGAATTTGCATCTGATGTCGTCGAACCAGCTTGAAAATCATGATATATGCCATAAACATTATAGCGGAGGTTAGTACCAGGAAATGGACGGCAATTATCCTGAGAATTTTCCTGTTCACGATAAAAAATCTTAACACAATGATAAGAATCCAAGTTAACCAAAAACTGAGTACAACTTTGGCAATGCCACGTCTTGTGACAATGTCATGCTTTCGTAAGTGCAGGTGTACAGCCAAAAATCTTTCGCAACTGATGGCAGTAATGGTAAACAATGAAACACCAGCGAGAAGCCAACCAAAAGACTCGGACATTACTCCTGCCACGCAATGAACTTTGATGTCGCCTGCCATTTGCGAAATTCGCCAAACTGAAAATGAAGGTTGAGCTAACAGTCCTACCGCTAGGTCAGATGTCGCGAGAGACAGAAGTAACCCGTTGGATGGAGTTTGAAGAGACGGCGTTTTCCACACTGCTAAGATAATCAGCACATTTCCACAAATGCCTGGTAGCATAAATAGACAGTTCAAAACGGAACAAATTAAATTGTGAACATACAAATTCTCAGGATCCTCATAAGAATCATTCAAATATCGACATGGGCTCAAGTGCCCTGTAGATTGGTTTTTAGCCATAGCAAATACTTGTAGATTCTGAGTTTTGAACGAAGAGTGGATGGCCCCTCCGCTTCCAATAAATATATACCAGTCGATTCTGGTTGTGAGGTTGTGAGGAAATGGACCGTTGTGCCAACTAGCTGACCTAGCTCAAGAGGCTTACTTCTGCCATTACGTCGCTAATCGTGACAGTTGTACTAAGCGAAAACCCATGTTTATCGTTGTGCCTTGGGATAACCTGTCAAAAGAGTTAAGTTAATCCATGCTTTTTCCCAATTTCGCACCAACATGATATGTTAAATTGAATGCATAATCAGGTATAATTAAATTTAGTATTCAGTGCTAAAAGGAAATTACGCGAGAGCGTAAATTAACAAGCTCATGTCGCCATCAGAGTACATGGTTACTTTACATGTTTTGTGTTCATGGTAGCGGCTTGGCAAAGAGTTAACTAACTTAATGGAGAATATATCCATCGGATGCCTTTCAACAGCGAATGCGCCGTCGTCAATGGCATTTGAACACAATAATGGCTTGCTATAATAAATGCAAACTTCGGTAAACAGTACATAAATTGGCTCAGAAAGAAATGATGTGAAAATAAAAAAACGATGTATAATTTACAAGATTTCATTGATGGTTTGGAAAACATTCAAGTATCAATTGTTTTGGAAATTTTAAGAAAGGTTTTTAACTCTGATTATGTTTAGAGGCGAAAGGAATTAAACTGAAACAGCCAAAGTTATTGGATCAATTTGTTTCGTCATATGTTTTCCCTTAAAGAAAAACTACAGCCGACCTCCGAATTAAATTAAAGTAAGAAAAATTGCGTGGTCAATTCCACCTTTACCTTTGTTTTCCTTTAAATAATTCGCAGAAATCCTCGCAAATTGAAGAGCAAATCTGAAAAACTTAGAAACAATACTACAAAAGTTTCTGACAATAGTATTGTTGCTCCAGACGCATTTTCGCGTAGTGAAGATTACGAAAAAAAAGAAAAAAAGGAAAGAGAGAAAAATGACAAAAAATAACTATCAGTTCAGCGTGCGGACACTCCCCTAAATTTTTCAATCCCAATTTGAATGTCTTTATGTATGCTGTTCAACGACAGTGGATTTGGTAGGGCTTTAAAGGAAATACGTCCCCAATTACATTCAAACCACTGTAGTCGGACCTCTTAGATGCAACTTCTTCTTGCTATAATAAAGAACCAATGCATGGGGAGTGAAGTTTTTCTTGCTATAATAAAGAACCAATGCATGGGGAGTGAAGTTATTCTTGCTATAATAAGGAACCACGTTTGTGAAGTGGATGGTTTTCCAAGCGGTATACTTTTTTAGTGAAATTCGTGATCTCGACAAGAAATATTTTCCGAAGCTTTTAGCAGCTTTTAAGCGGAAAAACATCAATTTGTTGACGCAAAATCGTCGTCTTTTGTCGGAGACAAAAGCATATCTTTTTCCATCGCAATTTCCTAAGTTACCTGAATAGACGGTAACATCCAAGTCAACAATGGCTAACATACTCAATCGCTGATGATTATTTTTCCAAATTGATTACTTTTTGGAACCTCGAATAGAAAAAAGTTTGCTTCGAACGGTTTTTAGCAATACCGATGTTAAATTGATTCTTAGCAACCAAAGGCAATCTTAGGATCGGTTTACGAAGAATGTTTGAGCAAAATCAGACGTCGATTTCCGGAATGAAGAAAACTGCGGTGAAAGGTGAAAGAAAATTAAAAAGGATATTTTAAGTATAATAGAACACAGGTAAAAAATTTTAATAGTTTCACCAGAAAACTGACATTACAAAGAAAAATTGAAACAGGCCAAAATTGTACCAGAGCCACCACATCACGAATATAGAAAGAGTGTATGGGTATACGATCGTTCATGCCGAAGTAATCATAGTATATAATCGTTCTGCTTTATTATTAGCTAGTCTTCTTCCCACCCGCTCTTTCGGATGTCAAACCTTAGTTGGTCAACTTGAAAGCTGGTAAAGGTCGCAAAACTCAGCCATAGTGAATTTTATGAAGCGTTTATTTAGCCTTCCAATTTATGCTACGTATGCAAACTGTTGGTCGCCGATGATAACCAACTGGTAAAGTCTGCCTCTCTTATCTATCCTAAAGGTGATAATTCAGCAGAAAAAAAAGTATAACAATATTTTTTAAAGCCATGTTATGTAAACAGGGCTTTTCCCTTTGTCCGATGTCACCCTGTCACCTTTTCGATGTCACCGCTTTGATTGTTTTAGGACAATCAAAGCAGTTAAGAACGCGGACAGACTAGATTCCAGTTCGTTTCATTCCAATCATAGGGGACCCAAGCTGTCTATGAGAGGATAATATAATATAAAGCTTTGTGTGGGAGTTTAGGCTTAGCTACTAAGTAGAAGTACAGGTAGTAATGAGAAGAGGTTAGTTAGAACTCGACGAAATGGCCTGAAAGCGCTATCAGTGAACAAAAATAATACAAACAACACTATCTAAAGGTTAGAATGAATTTACTGTATTATCTATGGAGTTACAGCGTGGAGCTTAAACTCCCATACAAAGCTTTATAATATCATCCTTTCAAAGAGAGCTTAGGTCCCCTGTGTCAGTGTTGTAGATCACTGAACCTTTCAAATAGACTCATTAGTTCACTTTGTAAGGGTTCCTAAAGTTCGGCTAAGATACTCCTGACTAAGTAACGAGACTGAAGACACGGAAAGCTGAGGCCGAACAAAAAACATGACTTGGCCTAGTCCGGGCTCGAACTGTCTGTTTATACTCAGCTACGTAGCGGAGTACACTATGAGGTTCAAGTTCACACTGCAAGCAGGAGGACAATCAGACATGGTCTGATGCTACTCTAGTTTAAATATTTAGGTCTGTCCGATAGAGTCCTGATAACGTCAGTTTGGCACACATTTGAAACAGTGTCAGAAATCGGTCTTCTTTTTCAAAAACGAAAATTCAGCGTTGACGGAGCTCACATGCCTAACTAACCCTACAATTCGGCGAGATAATTCTAACATTATCACCACTAATCCCGCTGTCATCAGCGCCTTTGTTTGGAAGCTTGGCATATCAACTCCGTCCACGCTCCCTTAGATCGTGATGATGGCGGCTTGCTACCTGACGCAGCTAATTAATGAGCATATAAAAGGGCATGTCATTCGGATCAGAACGGAAATCAACATTCGACCATGGCATTTGTTCAAGATCACTCAAGAATTTGGTTTTTTCAAAGTGTTTAAACTGTCGCATTTCGATCGTCCTTGAGCAATGACGCTCATGATGGACTTAACGCGTCATAAACATAAGAGAATGATCACTGATCCCAAGGTGAATGACACCTGAATTTGTAATTAACTTTCTCTGGGGAGTTGGTGATACATAAATCAATGAGTGTCTTAGAGACGGGAGTCACGTGTGCTGGTTCAGTGATTAAGTAACTAAGACTATAGACCACTTTCATAAATGGCTGCCGGATTAATATTCTTTTGTTTAAATTTAAATTAGCCCTACTGGCCTCGTTCTCCAGTACAAAATTCAAAAGAATACATTATCTCAAGCGAGGCCAGTGGGGCTAATTTAGATTTAAACAAAAGAATATTTATACGGCGGAAGCTCCTGGCAACAAATTGCAGTTAACATCACCAAGTAGATATAATTCCTTATTTTCAGCGTCCGTTTTGTCAATTACATTCTCAAACTCATTGAAACGTTCAGGCGGAGAGTTTGGAGGTCGATACCAGGTGCCGACCAGAAATTCTGAACTCCGTGGCTTTCTTATTTCGACGATAAGGCACTCAAGGTCATCATTGTTTAAATCATCACGTATTCGATAGTTAAGATTTGTGCGTAAATAGATACAAACACCGCCCCCTTTCCTTCCATTTACTCTACGGTCTTTTCTAACTATTTCGAAGCCAGGTATGTAAACTTCGCTGTCATGAACGGTTGAGTCTAATTTAGTCTCGTTAATTAACAGAATATCAACTTTAGAGTCGTACATGAAAGCTCTAAGTTCTTCAACTAAGAGAGCAAACAGTTTCTTTAGAAACATCAGCCTTTATTCATTGTTAATATTAAGGTAGGCGATGACCAAACCTCGCCCAAAAATCATACTAGAATAGTTGAACTTACCCATGTTATCGCACGTTCGGGCATCAGTCGAATCGGATTCCCAGACGGCAATATCCTAATCTAAGCGTAAATCATAAAATTCTGGGCAAGACGAGAGGTACCAGACCTGTTTAGATGAAGACCGCTACGATTTAAGTTCGAGATAGGAATGTTTGAATGATCAACAAATCCCCAGCTCTTCTGAGTGCAGCAATTTTTAAGAATTGTGTTCACCTCAGCTATTTTGGAAGCCAAGGCTCCATCATCAGATCTACACACAAGACTTGATAATGCAATCTTTGCTGGAGATTCACAGCTAACCATCGTTGCCAGGTCGATTATTTCATCAGCACAAGCACGAGGGGTGTGGCAGGATCTTAGGCTGTTAGTCCCCACATGAAGTATGACTCTCGTCGTCGATCAATATTCGACTATTTTTGAGACAACTGTTGGCTTCATTTGATAGTGATGGTTGCATTGTTTTCTCGGTTGATACCAAAGGTTCAGGGATTTGCAAATCCGTTGACGTTCCCGGCTTCTTTGGTACTAGTTCCACTAACTTGTCCCTTAAAGCAGGGCCATCGCGTCCCTGAAAGTTCATAGTTTGTTGTTTCCTGTTATACCAGTTAATCATTACATTACCGTTGGAACTTTTGAATTGCTTCGTGTTTCCACCAGGCGTAAGCCACTTCCCTCGTAGTTTTAAAAATTAACCACGAAATTCTTAAGCGATTCCAGGTCATTCGACCACGATAACTTGTCATTAAAATGAAGACATCCCAGTTCACAGACCTCAGGGTTTAGCGAACAAGACTCGGTTTTTGGGAGTGAGTCATGATCATCATCAGAACCACAAACTAACCGTCCGTCCGCAGCCATTGTCTTGCCTATTCCGGATCGTTTGCAACAATCAGATCACCCCCGATGAAGGCACCAGGCAGGAGTGTCGAAACGTAGGGTCGATGAATTGTAAATTCGGTTACATTCAATAAATCTTTAAATCAGAGTAGCATCAAACCGCGTCTTATTCCTTTGTCATTTCCTTAATTCTGGTATCACGACCTGAGGGCGCACCGAAACACTTAAGGTCCTGTAACCTCAAAGAATTTGTCGATCCCCTTATTAAAATAACCCAACGGTTTCAGTTAAAGCCTGTTGCCGCTGGTCTACCGCTGACTTTTAACCATTTACATGTCACCCTAACATCAGTATGCACATTCCTCATTTTGTTCTTTACACATTTCCTATGGTACTGACAAGGAGAATTTATTCACCAATCAAGAGCTTGTTGAGTTGGTGACATTTCCTTTATTCTCATGACCTTACCGGTTCGACTCAGCAGTGATAGCGCAAGGAGAAATTAGAACCCAGTCCCTCTCAGGGCTGAAAGGTTTAAGACCTCTTACCGTCCATTCTCGGCTGGTTCGTGCTTTGATTTCGCATCACGGTGAGCTGTGCTTTTTTTAAAAAAAAAAAAAAAAAAAACCACCATCTTTCATTTTTTTTGCTTTTTTGTTATTTTTCACATATTTATTTTTTTTACTTTCGACTTTTTCAGGTACGCACGTGCGTACCGTGCGTCCAGGTAGCTACGTCCCTGAAAACATCTGCTCAAATATGCGATGTAAAGTACTTAACAGTTACCAGGAAGTGGTCAACAACTTCCCCTTAGTACTCTTGCTTTGTCTAGTCGCAGAGCCCGATCTTATAACTGCTGCTTGAGACCTTCCCAAACACTAACCATGGAGGAAATCTGGGTAATGAGCTATTGGGATGGAGGATCTAACAAACCGAGGTAAGTTTCACCATGCCAAATCGAAGCCCTTGAATAAAAAGATATCCTAGTCCTAGAGGTTTTCTTTCCTTTCTTTTCTGCCTATTTCAGTTCACAAATGGAAGAACCTGTTCTGAGGATAGCCCTTTTTTTTCCTAAGGCAATCGTTTTGTGAGTAACCTTTCAGCAAGCTTTCGACTTCTGATCACAAATCATAAAAGAAACGAGGTGATCGAGGTTTTTTTTCAAAGATTTCTCTGCAAGGGAACTATTTCCCCTGAAAGCTACTTCCTTTAAAAAAACAACATCAACACAAGGACAAAGCAATATTCTGGCAGGTTTTATTATCATTATCAAACAATTAACGATATCGGCGAAGAGACAGTGTATTGCGCCTCTTCCACGATCCACGTCGGGAACTGCCGATCACCTTGTTGTATTTATGACCCTTGCGCATACCACGGTTTTTACGGCCAGCGGCAGTCAAGCCACGGAGCTCACGGTGTTTGTGTACTGGTTTACAGATCCAGTTGATTCTTGGGTCACGGCGGACAGCTTTATGGAAGGGATCCACCATGATCACCTCGAAGAATTTGTAAGTGGAATCTTCTGCCACCCAGTAGGAGTTGAGAACTCGCAGGCTACCACAGTATCGGCCGGCTCGCTCCTGTTAAAGGCAGTTCAAATGACATCAGTGGTTTCTAGGAAAGCACAATGGCTTTTTGATTAAGTCAACCAAAAATCTAAACATACTCTATGGCAGCTTGTCTTCTCATGGCTGACACAGAACAAGAAACTTGGTTGTCAAACAAGTTGAGAAAATCTGGACAAAATTTCCTGTCTTCTCAGAAAAATTCATTTCAATAATTAAACGAAACTATGCTACATGAGAGAGCAATGCATTCATCACAAACACTGAGAATATTCAAAGCTTCAGTGAAACAAGTGTGGGATTAAAACACCACTAAATTGAGCCATGCTACCAAATATTGTTCAATTACAATAAAGCAGAGAGAAACATTCCAAGAAATTATGTGGCCAACGGCAGGATTCAGTTCTTTTGAGTGCTAGAGAACTCTTAAAATGCATCATTCCAGCAGGTGACTAAACTCGATTCCTATGGCTCTTTTGAACTGGGCCTGATCATCCCTCCCATCTCCTAATATGAGGGGCAGAGCCTTAATTGCCAATCTGTGGCCAGTTACTAAGTCTAATAATGGACCAGCATGTCATGATCGTCATATAGTTGTCTCGGTTCTAGTCTTCTGTGTTGGCAGACAGATGTCAATGTGGCCTTGATAGAGCTGAGAATTGGCCAACCTTAAAAACAAGAATGCTTAGCCATCTCTCCATTTAAAATACCTTTGAAATTCCCTCAGAAAGCATCATTAATTTGTTTTCTTACAAATCCCTCCATACAATTTAAATTTCCTCTCAGAAAATGCTATATCCTCATCAAGAATTTTCAAGACATCAGCATCTGAACAGTCCCCCACTATCGAATGTGTCAGGACTAAGGCTAATGAACCACACATTGATAGTGAGCCAAAACACCATTCATCCTTGACAAGCAAAACTGAGGCAAATGATTCATCTTTGGAGATCACCAACCATCAACCATCAAAAATGTCCAAAATATATAAGGGAAACAGAAACACTCTCAATTCTCCATATAACAGTATTTTGTTCACTATGCTAGAAAATTGAGAACATTTACAATTTCGCACATTCAACTGTCAACAAAATATGCCACAGTTAAGAAACAATAAAAATGTCTCCCCATCTGGATTTTCTGACAAATGAAAACCAGCCTTGAAAGTAGCATACAATTCAAGAGTGCTTTGACCTCCTACCTCAGCCACAGATCTTAAACTCCTCTGGAATTTCAGTTGGTTCACACCCTGATTGGCAGGTTTACCATAAGTTGCACCCTTAGGTACCGGGCGTTTACGTCCACCACGTCTCACACGGATACGGTATATCACATACCCTTGTTTGGCTTTGTAACCAAGACGTCGAGCTTTGTCAGGACGCATAGGTCGCGAGGCTCTATGGATAGCATTGAGTTGGCGGTATTGCCAGCATCGTACACGCAGTAAAAACCGTAACAGGTCAGATTGCTTCTTTTTGAAAAGCTCCTCAAGGTACTTGTATGCTCCCATTTTGTCCTTGGTTAGCTAGAAATTTGAAACCACAGACACATTACTTTTCACAATTAAAACACATTCTAAAAAGTTAAGGCTTCAAACTGGAACTTGGATCCTAATTTGTCAAATTTGAAGCTTTGATGTACATAATGATGAAAACAGAAACTCTCCAAATTAGAAAGAAAGGCAGTCATAGGAGCTTGAAACTAAATTTAAAAACTTGGCACAAAAGCCCAATTTCATATTTTAAAATTCAGGGTAAAACTATAAACATTGCAGAAAGACTGAGAAATAAGCCCTTCTATGGCTGGTTCCCCAGCACCTTGTACTAGATGTACTACAAAACAAAGAACTTTTAATTATCACGACTTTTCCTAGAGACAGGGTTTCAAGCTATCTAAGAGCAACAACTCTTCACAGACTGAATTTTTTAAAGAAACCTTCAAATAAGCACATTGGTTAGTTGGGTCTCTGCAACCATGAAAACAGACAGTAGTCATAGACTGAGCCACAATAAGACCACACTTAGCTTCTACTTCCTGAACATTAGACACATTTTTACCTTTACTAGAATGACAAGATGTTCATTTTTTCAATTGTTTGTTCGAGATGTACTTGCGTTTATCGTTAAGAAGTTTCACATGTGCAGAAATTTATACGAGTCAAACCACTTACATTGATGTAAAAACGACACTGAATGCAGCGTAGATTTTATCAAAAATAGAAGCAATTATTAGTTCTTGTATATCATCTGAGCAAAGTACAAGCCCTTAGTAGATTATGTTAAAACAACTGCTACACAGTTCGACTAATTCGTACCGTTCGGAATATAATACGACGAACAGACACAGGATTTGCAAACATGCACCACAACAAAATCCATTCTGAAACCATTTTAATTTCCTTTGGTGACGCATATTCTCACATGAAACTTTGAGCCTGAAACCACTACGTTTATCAGTTTCTATACCCGGCAAAATTCACTGCTCGAATGTTGAAATGAAAACAACTAGCAAATATTTCCTGAAATGAGAAACTTCAGACATGGCTTGAACCTAATATAAATGAGCTACAACAATGCAAAGGAGCAAAACGGAAACAGAGACTATAAAAAATGTTTTCATATGAAATTTATCGTCTGATGGCTGTTTTAAAGTTAGGATGGTAGACGATTTCAAATGCAATTTCGCTTACCTCTGATCGCAAGAGAGCAAAGGGGGAAAGAGGACACGAGAGAGTAGCCTCGATTTGAAACCAGCTGTGCTCATGCGCAGTGATGAGCATAACGTAACCCTCCATTTTGTAAAACAAGATTTAAGAAAGTGTTGTATTTTTTAAACAATTTCTGATTTTTGCACCAAGAAGAAGAGCTGTTTTCCTTTCAGATGAACCAGGCAGAAAAAGGAGAAGAGGGAAATAGAGAGGAGTGGATGACAAAGTTAACAGACATGCGATTTCAGAGGGCAGACATGAACCGTTTGATCATGGACTACCTTGTAACGGAGGGCTTCAAAGAGGCTGCCGAGAAATTTAAAATAGAATCCGGCACGCAGCCTTGTGCTCCGTTGGAAAATCTCGACGAAAGGATTAAAATAAGAGCCGCTGTCCAACGTGGAGACATCGAAGAAGCAATCGCTCTTACAAATAAGCTAAATCCTGAGATACTTGACTGTAAACCGCATCTGTATTTCCATCTTCAGCAACAACGCCTAATAGAGTTAATTCGTGACAAAGACATTGAATCGGCAGTTGATTTTGCCCAGAACCAGCTTGCTGAACAAGGCAAGGAATCTCCCGAGTTTCTGGATGAACTAGAGCGAACTATGGGTTTGCTGGCGTTTGATAACCCAGAGGATTCGCCATTTGGTGAATTGCTGTGTCTTTCACAAAGACAAAAGGTGGCTAGTGAATTGAATGCTGCCATTCTGGAAGCAGAACACAGAGAAACCTCACCCAAGCTGTCTAATTTGTTGAAACTGTTGTTGTGGGCACAAACAGAGTTGGACACTAAGAAAGCAAAGTTCCCCAAAATGGTAGATGTTGCAAGTGGTACTTTTGATGGTTCACTTTAAGTAAACAAAAAAAAAAAAAGACTTGATGAATGTTGCAACATGAAAGGCATGTCTTCAACTACTAAAGCTGAACTTTGCACAATAGACATTGTTCTCCTCTAATCAAGGGCTAACCCGTTCTAGCCTTGTGCTCTTGAGAGCATGTTTTGTGGTGGTGTGCAAATATTTCTATGTTGGTTAAACTAATTTTTTAAGAAAGTATGGTTTAACTCTAGTAACTCATGAACTTGTGTACTCAATAACAGGGCTGTACAATACTCATGGAATAGTTTTAAAGTTTTTTTTTTGTTTGTTTTCAAGGGAAAAGGGTTAAATGTGCCTGCAAGTTTTATCGATATTGTCAATTTATGACAAAATCTCAACCTTAAAACTGGCATGAACAATTGTTTAACTGTTTAGACTTTGAAAAGGAGACGAGTAGGTTGCTAAATTTTTTTCCCTTTTTTTAACAATAAAAGAAAACTGCATTTGGTTACATGATTATTGTAGAGTCTCTTTATTACAACTAAAGTATTTTTCAAGAATTGGAAACACCTGTGATAAGGATGGAAAGTTCTCTTCCAATCAGCAAAGTTAAAACAAAAAGTCACCACGGCAAAATTCTCTTGCCTCATAAGTTGGCTCAGGGAGAAATCAAGACTCAACTGGCCCACACAAATTATTACTAGAAGGCCCATTAAGAATCCTTGTCGGGACCAGATAAAGCCACTGTCAAGGATGGATTGAGGCTGTCTAATATGAAATGAAAGCAATATTAAGTTTGCTTAACCCTTATGTAGGCAATAATGAGCAGACAAGTGATGAGATTAAAGAAAAATACCAATTACAGGATTATCAATTGATCCAATACCAAATTCTCCAAAGTGACATCGTAACAATTGTATGGTAGACAGTGCGGGGAATTACAAAGAAGATTTTAAGAGTGAAAAGGTTAATGCCAAAAAGTCTAATGACACCTTGAAGTTCTGCAACGAGACTTGCATTGACCCATGGCTTTTCTTGTCACCTAAAAAACCATCCAATCCAAAATTAAATAACTCTCTTACATTAGTAAAGGACATCAGATTCTTAACTACTAGATAAACAGTAAACAACAGAGGTACCTCAATAAATAATGCGCATCTGATGATAAGTCAATGGTTTAAATTGTGTCATTGCCTAAAAAAAACAATAGCTACTTTGAAATTACTTGGCTAATGGAATAAAGTGGGTTGACCATGAAATGATGAATTGCACCTTTTATTCTTTATGTCATGATCTGCAAGTAACCAGTGAACAGAAAAATGCCTGTAATGGTTAAAGTCATCAATGACTTACAAAGACGTACAGTCACAACTTAACTGCATCATGTATTTCCTCATGGTATTTTCCCTGCAAAATTTACATTCTTACAGGGGAAAAAGGAATTGATGGTTAGACTTAATGGGAACTGGCACCCAAACATTGATTAAAAGAGTTTGGGATAGTTCTCAATTTCTTCCGCTGTGAATTCTTCCAGTCTTTTGGGCAAGGGAGCTGGGCCCTCCAATTTAGCAAAAATATTTTCCGCGTACGGATGTTCACTGTCCTCGAAAAGGAACAACCTGTTCATCCAAATGGGTCTGAGATTGTTTTTCGGAAGCATTCCGTAGACAGCCCTCCATAGGACTCTTGTAGCGTCTCGCTTGTGCAGCTCTCTTGCAGTTATAGATTTTAGTCCACCCGGATAACCAGTGTGATGACGATAAAGTTTGTTTTTCCACTTGGTACCAGATAAAACAATATGTCTCGTGTTGATCACCACAACGTAATCACCAACGTCATCCGTGTGATGGTAAATAGGTTTCGTCTTCCCTTGCAAAACTTGGCTCAGATATGAAGCTAAGCGCCCATTGATCTGATCCTTCGCATCTACAAGATACCAAAGGCGAGCATGGGTTAAAAAACTTTGATTGGCACGGTTTAGGAAAGTCATTTTTGACCGAACTTCACGCCGCAACGTAGCAATTCAGGAGTTTCGCAAATCAGTTGCACGTTTGCACGTTATAATGGCGGCCAACAAACATTTCCCAAACGCGCACGCGCATGGACGTTCACTACGTCACTTATTCAATCTTCGATTGTCTCTTTAAGAAAGTCCGCTGTGCAAGAGGAAACTTTAGAGCGAAACGGAATCTTGTTCGATTTTCAGGAAGGAGCAAACTCACCATGGATCATCAAGGTAAAAGACCTCTAGATCACTCCGAGGAAGTGTTAAACATTGAGTGTGGTTAACATTTGTTTTCTTCTCCGGTTATTTAGTTCACGAACATAACATGAGTTCTCCGTCCTCTCCTGGTTATTTGCCGCAGTATCTCCTCGGCGGGAATTCACCGGCTGCTTCGGTACGGTAGATTCAAAAATAACTTCTATCTTTTATCGATTCGTTACTGTTGTTAATGATCAGTCCCATTAAGTTTGCATCTACCTCTCTAAGAAAACTATTCGTTAGTTCTTGAGTTGTTCATCATTGTACATATAGATATTTTTAAATTTGGCGCCATATTTATTTTACGTACAAATGCCTACACTTAATACTAAAATCTTGTCTTTGACTGCTCCGAGCGACTTTCGATTCATTAGTTTTAAGTCAGTGTGCGATCTCCTTGTCTAGGCGTGATGATTTCAGTGGCAGATGGTGTTAGCCAGTGAATGCTACAGGCATACCAAGTGTAAAAGTACTGTGGTACAGCATGCCATGTAGAAAGAGTGACGTAATAATAGAGAGACTGAGGGATCTCTTATCAATTATTTACCAACAGACTCCCCAACCTTGACAAGTTTCATGGGCATTTCATTTAGTTTTGTTTGTTTCTCAGCCCTTCCCAAGAGGAAGACCTTTGGCTGGCTCTTCTCTAGGATCATACAATGGAAGCCCTGGTCAGTCAGGAACATTTTCATCACCAAGACAGTACCAGCATCAATTTGGAACACCACTTAGATCTCAAGGACTTGGAAACAAATTAGAAAGGACGCCTGCAAGGTATTTGCCACTTCAGACAATGCACAGGCCCAAAATATAATTGAAGATATAAATTCCAGCATTGTTTTTGCCAGTACTGAAGAACTAAAAATACACTTACTTACTTACTTACTTGTTACTTCTATTGCACCTTTTCTATGCAATTCACTCAAAGGCACATCACAACACTTTCAGGGGACTTAAGCCAGATCACATCAAGCAGTTTTACAATATCAATCGAAGGAAACTTATTTGAAGATGCCCCCTCCCCCTAATCTTCAGTAAACAGGCCAGACCACATCACAGTAATCTCATGAGTGGGGTCTTCAACGTCCCCTGCCTAACCAAATTAACTATGGTTTTATTCGTCCTTATCTGAGAAGACTAGAATGTCTATCCACTTCTTGATATTATAGAAAGGTAGCACATTCTCCTCAGTTGAGTGTTGAGTGTTGGTCAGGCTGGGGCTCAAACCCTCAACCTCTGGCACAACAGTCTAGCACTCTAACCAACTGATCTAACCAGGAGGCTTGGAGAAAATGGGAAGAAATTAAAGCCTAAAGAAACCGTGGGACTTCTAGAGTATGGGTTTCCTGAGCTAGAGGTATATTTTATACAAAAATGGAGCGACCGTGGCGAAATAGGCCCGTATGTGCTAATGATATGAAAATAACAAACCAAACAAAAACAGAACAGAACAAAACAAAGCAAATACCTCAAATCATGAAGCCATACTTTTTTCTCTTTTCCTGTTATTGACCAAAAAAATTGATATACATGGATCATTCATATCATCTGTTTTGTAAATATCTGATTACTATCTCTTTATTTAGATCAACCACTGTGGGTTGCACAACTAAAGATTCTGTCAGTGCACCTCCTGTTGAGGGACTTTATGATGCGAGAAGTTCAGATTTCACCAATTCTCCTTTCAACAGAGAACAGGTAACTGTGGCTTTTGTTATACATAAAAAAGGTAAAAGATTAAGTCTGTACTTGAGCAAAATGGCCCATCCAACCACAGCTGATCCTGGTTTCCTCAGTATGAAGTGACTAGGAATATTTTTTATTTCCTCCTCAGAATATGGTAAGATGTTAGGAGTGAAAAGGTTAATGTCAGAAAGTCTGGTTAAGTACCTCAGATTTCTGTGGCTAGACTTGCATTAACCCATGGCTTTTCTTGCCATCTCAAAAATCAAAACCAATTTAATTTAATCTTCTATCTTAGTAAAGGACATCTGAGTTTCTTAACTACCAATATATGATAAATGACGGAGGTGAATAGATAAATAATGGGCAACTGACAGTTGGTTAATGGTTTAAATTGTGTCATTGCCTCAAAAACAACATAAAAAACATCTTTTTTCCTCCAAAAAAAGGTGGCATTCAATCTGCAGCTGACTGTGTCACTGAAGATGTTTTAACCACATTTTGTAGTCTTCTGTGATTTATTACTATACAGACCCATGGCAACAAGGAATCTATTTGTTTTGTATTATAAAAAACAAAATGTCTTGAAAATAGTGATGTCAGATATATGCTTCTTAGTGTTAATTTCATTTGTTAAATGATGAAATAATCTCCTGTACAATTGGATTTGGTGGAATATTACTTGATCATTTGCCAGGTATAAAACTTATTGTTTAATATTATACAGTTGAGATAGGTGACATTAAATATTGTGCAGGGTAATCCTAACCCTGGCAAAGTACACATTCAACTGTTTTGAAATTTCTGAAAAATCAGGAAATAATAATCAAATTCATTTCACCCACCTTTGATTAGTACTGATGATATAATTGTCATTTTCTCTACAGCCAATGGATGTGACCATGGCCACTGCTGTAATGACATCTGTTAGAAAGAGTTGTGGTCATTCTACTCCAGGCAGTAATGTCACTATGTCTGGTTTAGATTCACAACATTTCAGTCCTCAGCATGGCCCAGTGTCTTCACCAACACAGACTGATCCATTCTACACTCAAGGGTACTAAGCAAACTTCATTAAATTTTAGACATTTCTATTAATAAATTGTTACACAGTCATGTTATTTGATCAATGTTGAGTATATGATACTTGTATATGGATGTGATGTGGCAAAGGAGTTCATGATACTGGATGTTGTGGGTAGTTATTTGAGGGAATACAGTAATTATTTCACCTCATACTGTGGTGCAGACAGTGTAAGTTCTGGACAGAATCAATGAAAAATGCTACTCACAAGAATTTGAAAAAAAAAAGTACAATTTGGTGACATATATTTTAGGATGGCGATATCAAGTGATGACATACTGGATGAGTGCTGGGTCACAGTATTTGGGTAAGATATGTGTATTTGCTTAATTATTTATAAGTAATTTTGATTTTTAAAGTAAACCCATTATAAAAGATCATAAGTTGACGAGCAGTGGCTCAATTTTTGTACAAGAATTTGTTTGATTTGTATTGTGGGTGATCTTGGCTAATCTATCTCTTTTTCGATTCCTTATTATTTATTTATTTATTTATTATAATTTTTTAATGTTGTTGTTGTTTTTAAATTAGTTTCCCACCGCCTGCCTCCTCATTTATCCTGCAACAATTTTCTCAATATGGTAACATCATAAAAAGTGTGGTAAGTTTAAACCATGTTTGCTGGTAGTATGAATTTCAGTGAATCACAGTGATGGCAAACAGTTCCTTTCACAAGCATTTTAAGACCTGAAAGCCCAGAAAGTTGTTGAACAGAGTTAATATAGATTGAAAAGAATGTGAACCCTGTTTGATTCATGTCACAAGCAGAGGGGAGAAACTAAATATCAACTATATAATTTTTGTAAGGTTACTGACATCCACGGTGGTAACTAAAACAAGAAATTGCTCATTCCAAGAAATTTAGACTTATTTGGAAATTTTTTACTGCAACAATTTTTATTTTGCTAATACAAAATTGGAATTTAGAGAGAATAATACCAAATTGTTTTCATAGCAGGAGCACTTAAACACTGAACAAGTGGTTATGGTTTTGAGTCTACTATAAATAAATGTACATGCATGTAGTTAATAAAGGCTTATAGTTTCTAAAGAAACTGTTTGGGGCTGCGTCGGTGGGAGTAACGAAATAATTTGGATATATCAACAAAGTTGAAATGGTAAATTGGCCACTGTAACGATTACAAAAGCTGACATTTCGAGCGCTAGCCCTTTGTCGGAGCAAATAGAGGAATTGTGGGTTGTGTGTGCTTTTAAAGGCAGAAAATGGAGCTACGTTATTGGTGGGAACATGGCAATGAGAAAAACAAGAATAAATTAGTGGAATGAAAAGCGTTCGTTGATCCCTGTGGGATTTAGACTGCCGGTTTGAAAGATGAGCTTTTGTTCAAGATTTTTACGGCTTTCCGTGCTACCTAAGTGTAAGGAAAGACCGCAGATTGCCATATGTTGCTTAGAATGATTAGGTAAATTAAAATGTCTAGCGACTGGTTTCGATGTGTCCTTGTCATTCCTTTCCACGTCTCGAAGGTGTTCTCGGAATCGGTCACCTAGTCTTCTGCCTGTTTCGCCGATGTATATCTTTTTGCAATAAGTGCAAGTTATGCAATAGATTACATTGGCGGAGGTGCACGTGAAGTGATCGGTGATCTTAATGGATCGTTTAGGTCCCGATATTTTATCAGTGTTGTGAATGAAAGGACACGTTTTGCATCGTGCACGAGCGCATTTAAAAGTGCCTGGTTGGTCATTAGTCTGAAAAGAACTTCTGACCAAAAAATTGCCTATGTTTTTGTCGCGTTTGAATGAAATGAGCGGAGGCTGCGAAAAGATAGTGCTTGTCTCTGGATCGTTTTGAAGTAATTTAAAGTTTTTAAGAATGATGGATTTAACTGAGTGGTTGTGAGGGTGAAACGTGAGAGTGAATGGAATGCGGTCGGAATCTTCCTTATGCGACGTTTGTAGTGCTGAATGTCGATCAATAAGTTG